TAAAATTATTTTTATAATAAAACGAAGATGCCATTCGCTTTCTTCTTGTGTTTTTGTATTTGCATTGATGCTGCAAAAGCAACAGTAGTAAAACCTTTGGCATCTCACTGTGAACCAAAGAGATGGCACCAACCCTACTAGTTGTCATTACAAACTTCACTGCCACACACTTGCAATTAAAAATGAAGCCACTTTCACTTAAGAATGCCTCTCATGAAGCATTAGAATCTTACATTTATAAGTCCCTATCCATGAATCTATTTTTAGTATTCTGTGGGAATATTAAATGGGAAATGCATCTAAAGCACTTCTGTGGCATATCAAAGTCTGATAGGAACTTTTACTATATCATTTCCATTGAAAATAAATAATGTGAACATATGTATATTTAGATATATGTGACTCTAAAATATATACCTTATTTTCTGTGGAAGAACATAGAACTCTTTTCTCTAAACACTGTTGCAGACAGCAACTGCAGCCCTAGAAAATATTTTTTGTCATGTACCTTCGTTATTTCCCTAGCTCTCTACATGTCTTAGGCCCTTTTGGTACTGGAGATATGAGTGAATTTTTTTTTTTTTTAGGCAAGAAGAAGGAAACTAGAAACTAAAAATTACAAAATGGCCACAGTGTCACAATAGAACTTTAATTTGAAGACCAGATAGACATATGCAAATAATGTGCAAGTGAATCAGAATCGCTCCTATTTTAAATACATGAACCTGGCCCTTGGGACAAAACCTGCAAAAACTTTGATGTTATTGCCTTTTTGCAGCGGAGTTGTCATTTGGGGAAGCCTACTGTCAAGATGAATGAGTTTTTCTTAGGTGAACTTTACCCCCAACGAGCTTCTGTTTGGGCGCTGCTGGAAGTGTCGGACAGTCTCTTTCCCAAATGATGGTTAGCTTGACATTTCATGATACTTCTAATAAAATTATATGTCAAGGAAATTGAAAGGCACATTCCCTAGGGTGACAGGTAAAGTGAGCCACATGGATTTTTATGAGAACAAACTGACCATTTTTGTCATGAATGTTAATAAGAAATAAATGGGATCAAAGTTATTCAAACTATATTTCTACTTCTTTTAGGGCTGTCTCAGAATCCTGTCTTTTTTTTTTTTAATAAGTCTTCCGTTCTATTCTCCTTTCTATTTAATTTATTGTCTAAATGGGATAACAGTTAAGTCTTTTAATTTTGTGTCAGAATGAGACCCCCTTCTTTGGGGACTTTAGACTGTTTATAGTGGGTAATCCACCCACACTTCGGTCTCTCAAGTGGAAAGGAAAAACTAGAAATTTTCCATTGTGCAACTAAGCAGTACCAGGTGGATTAGTCCATACTCGTATGTTTATATGTTATTCATTAAGTTTTGGAGTTAGCAAGATTCCAAACCACATACCTCATTTCTCCTGAAATCAGAATTTGGGCTTCAGAATCAGAAGGGTGGGATCGGCACCACTTTCTTTTTCTGGGGTCCTCTAGTAGCCAACGCATGCTAGTCTCAGAAGCTACGTGGTAAACAAGGTGCCATAGAAACATGTGTATCCTTGAGGGAGGAAGGGTAGTGGAGGAGAGGAAATTTCATACTTGCATACATAATGAATCAGTGTTACCACTTTTTGTTGTTTTATTGCTTGTTTCTTAGTTTTATTTTAAATAAGAACCAATATGTTTTTGTAATCAGAAACAATATCTTAGAAAACATTCTACCAATATCTATACCATTTTAATGACTCTGTAGAATCTTGGGAATTTAGAATTCAGTAACTGCTGGAAGTTTTTGATTCTGATTAACAACTTAGAAAAAAAATCAATTTAATGCCCCCATCCCTCCTGGCTAACTCAATAAATGAATAGTGATAACAGCTAGCATGCACCAAGTACTATCCATTTGCCAAGCACACCCCACTCTCACTAGAATGTCAGCTCCATGAGGGCCGGGACTGTATCCATAGACCTTAGATTTGTTCTGGCCCAGAACAGGTACTCAATACATATTTTTGAACAAATGAAAGAATACATACCTCATTTAATCCTTATAATAATTCCATTTCAATACTCTGGGAGCCTGCAACAGACTATATCTTCGCCCAAGCATCCATGAACACTGATAAAGCTGATTATATACTGGGCCAGAAACCTCAGTAACTGACCGTAGTCCAGGGATGAGGGAGGCCTCTGGAATGTGTATCTGGAGAAGTGACATGACCTGATTTACACCTTGATGAGATTGCTGTGGCTGCTCTGTGGAAACCAGGACTGCAGGGCTAAGAGCCATGGCTGGGAGACTGGTCAGGAAGCTCCCACAGTCATCCAGCCAGGAGGTGACCATGGGTTGGACAAAGGTGTTAGCACTGGAGGAGGTGAGGTGAGGAGCTGCTGGCTGGTATCAATATTTTGAAGATAAAGCTGACAGAACTTGTTGATGGGATGAATATAGAGTGTGAGTCAGAGAGAAAGCAATGGTGATTCTGGGCTCTGCCTGTGGGATGGAGGACAGGGAAGAGGTCTGGGTTTGGTGGAGGAGGTGGAAGCAAAGGGATCTACTTGTAACCTATAAGTTTCCTGGGGCTGCCATCACAAAGTATCAAAAATCAGGTGGATTAAAACAATAGCATTTTATTGTTTCACAGTTCTGGAGGCTAGAAGTCCAACATCAAGGTGTCAGCAGGATCACCCTCTTTCTGACAGCTCTAGGGGAGAGTCCTGCCTTGCTCTTTCTAGTTGATAGTTTGCTGACAGTCCTTGGCATTTTTTTGGCTCATAGATGCATTGCTCCAGTCACATGGCCGTCTTCTCCCGGTGTGTCTTCATATCATCTTCCCTCTGTGAATATCTGTTTCTCTGTTCAAATTTTCCGTTTTATAGGGACATCAGTCATATTGGAATAAGGTCCACCCTNGAAGACTCAGTCCCAGATCTTCCTGCTGGGCCTTTCCCAGTGCTCAAACCCTCCCTTATACTCAGCTGACCCCCAGCTCCAGAACCGCCTTATGTAGGAGAAGAGCCAGGTAGGTTGGAGTTGGAAGAAGAAAGTCAGGTGTGTTCAGTCCCATGTTCTTCTAGACTCCCTCTTCCTACTTGGCAAACAGTCTTTCAAATAGATAATTTTTGCAGTAATTCCTTGTAGTTTTTTCCTCTCTCTACTATAGGAAGTCTAGAAGCCACGTTTACCTAAACAGGTGAAGTCTGTGATCTAAATTCTCTCAGTTCTCCCTATCTCAGAATAAGGGCCAGCTTTGGATTGTGGGTGGGAACTTTGAGATATTTGAGGATTGTGGAATGTGCTGTTTCAAATGGTCTTACTCTCTGCTCTTGGAGCAATGACTTTGTGTAAATCATCCGAACTGATGCTTCCAAGGAGATCTTATTGAAATATTATAAAAACCTGGAAGATTCAAAATGCTTTGAAGACTTTAAGGGGTTCTGGAATTCCAGGGGAGGACCCACTACTTTATATCAGTAGCTGATCACTTAAATAACATCACTAAGCATCCAAAGGTCCTTTCAGAGTTGTCTGATTTGCTGTAAGAATCAGTCTCAGTCTTCTAATGTATGATGTTTAGAGACTACTTGATATAGCAATATATTTCTATATATCACTGTGGGTTTTTTAGCATTAAATTTATGGATAGTTTCCCAACTAATGATGAGTTTTATAAACTAGAATTAATATTTCAACTAACCATAGATATCCTTGATTTCTCCAAAATTTTGTGTCTTATAGAGCTAAATTTAAAGGATGATGGAGGCTCATTTAGTCGTCTTATAAAAGTGAAAGATGACTTTACTCTTAGCAAAGTAAAGGTAAGTTTGAAAATGTTTTCAAATCATGATAAATCAGTTACCAAGATGCCCACTATTAGGCCATGGACAAGCCCACTTTCAGGATTGTGCTTACTGTTGGGAGACCAGGTAGCTTTTCTTGAATAAAAATGGCTTGGGAAGAGAAGGAGTCTAGTCCTCATGAGAAAAGTAGATGCTCAGAGGTGTCAGACTTCAACTTTACAATTCGATTAGGTGCTGAAGAATATCTGATTCTTTCTTTGATGGAATTTGAATCTTCCATACTGTTTCTCATTTCCTAATAATAATAGTGATGGCAACAGCAACAAAAACAGCTAACATTTTTCAGTGCTTACTACTGACGGGCACTTTGCATGATCATTTTCATAACTCTATGATGTAGGTATTAATCATATTTGAACTATATTGTGCTGAACCATGAGAAAACTGAGGTTTAGACAGTAAGAAATTCACTAACATCATGCAACTAACAAAATACAGATCATGTTATTAACCATTATACCAATTGCCCTAGAACTTGTATAATATTTACTGCTTTGTACAAACAAGATTTTAGAGACCTGCTCCTTGAAAGATTAGTTGGTTCCTGTTTATTTTGCCATGTCAGGTTGCTGTTTCCTATTGATTATCCACTGTGAAATCTCATTATCTTCACATTACCAGTTAGGTGACCACCGTTTAACTTGAAATACAGTCAATCCTCATTATTCACAGATTCAGTATTTGCTAATTTGCCAATGTTAAAATTTATTTGTAACCCCAAATCAATATTTGTGGCTCTTTTGTAGTCATTTGTGGACATGAGCAGAACATAGAAAAATTTGAGTTGACCAACCTACATATTCCCAGCTGAATTGAACAAAACAATGCTCTGAGTTTTTATTTCCACTCTCATACTATAAACAACTGTGCTTTTCATGGTCTGTTTATTGCGATTTTTATTTTGCATTTTTGTGCTTTTTTGTTGGTAATTTCGCTATTTAAAATTACCCCCCAAGAGTAGTGCCGTCTAGTGTTCCTAAGTGTGAGGAGGCTGTGATGTGCCTCGTGGAGAAAATAAGTGTGTTAGATAAGTTTCAGTCAGGCATGAGTTATAGAGCTATTGGCTGTGAGTTCAAGGTTAATGAATCTATAGCATATATTAAATA